ACATTATTAAAGGTCAAAGGGCTTTAAAGCAGTGCAATCATTTTGAAATTTTTACCATTTACTTATTATGCTTCATTAAGTACTTATACAAAATTTTATTAAAATAAAACCATTTAAACTGGGTGTTCGGATTTATATGTCACTTAGTATATATCTACCTTGATCAGATGTATGGACACTAACAAGACAACTGATTTTTTGCCAGGTCCCTGCGACTGTCAGATGTTACAGAAAAACCAATCAATTGGATTTTTTGTGCAAGATTGTTTGCAGTTGATTAATTTTATGCCAAGTTTCGGCAATTGCAGGAAAAAGACAAAAATAATCAGCTGGCTTGTTAGTGCGTATGCGTCGGATCAAGATTTCTCTTGCATTTCGCTGTCTGTAAAAGTAAAAGGTGCATTGTATCATTATTATCACCGTACCGGACCACTGAATTTCTACAAATAACGTAGCATGATGGCACTACTACGTTAGATATAAGTGAAAGTAATACGAACCAGAAAAAAATCGGTAGTACGATTTGCTTATTTCGGTGCGAACACAGCAAAGTAGGAAGTTATCACAGATCGCTTTTTAGTATAATGTCACTTGTCAAACCAAAATAATATCCTTTCATTTTAAAGTACACAACTACTCTGGCATCCCAGGTATGTGAATCTACTTTATAAATAACAAACTAGCATGACGGCGCACTTTAAATATGATTAAATAATAGCATGTAATAGTATATAAAGGTCTACGCAGTCGACTAAACGCATCTATCCCGGTAGACTGTTGTTGCGTTCGCCGTTTGTTCCTTCCGGTAAAAATGGTGCTTTCAATGGACAGGTGGGTGGACAAAGTGGCTATAGTGACGGGAGCCAGTTCCGGCATTGGAAAGGCAATTGCTGAACGATTGGTTGAACAAGGGATGAAGGTGAGTAACGTCGTAGACATCTTGCGTCTTCCAACTTAGTAGTTAAGATATAACATGCACAAAGGAATGGTTTAAAACTATTTTTGAAACAGTTTTACGATAGATTTGTATATCCATTTATTTCTGTTGTCAAATTAAGTTGTACAAGTTTGTACAAAAGTAGGTTTTATTTGGAAGTCTTTTGTTTCATCATAACTTGTTTGTGTACTCATAGCAGTAATACTGCCTAGTTAAAGTTGCTCTTCCCACTAACTTGTTCACAAAAGTTTGCAATAAAATCCTCTTGTAGATCTTACTACTACCCAGTCAACACATATCTGTAAAGACTGACAAATTTCCAATAAGTATGAGTAATACACTTATTCCTAGCGATCTGGAGAGACGAAGGTTAAATGCAGGGTATTTTATTGGTAGAGGGAGATACTTCAACCACGCGTAGATGAATTTGTCGTGAACATGAATAATCTATGGTTGGTGGATCCTTATTCATTAATAAATGAGGTACAAGGAGTTTTATTGATTTTGGCGTCCATTTAGTTATGGCCTCACAACCAGTTATATCCTTCTGAAAGTTGGTTCGCCTTGTCATTTTGTGCTAGCGAATCGACCACTATAGCAACACAGCGAAGATACAGTAACTGATAGCATGACCGTCCACTAAATCTAACACAAATGTAGTGCATATAATCGTAAGCCTTACCTAATAGACCATAGTCCAAGGTCTGTAACTTTGTACTCCAAAGTAAACAAAATCACTATCATCAGCTCGTACAAGATTATCTGTTTCAATAACAAGAGTGGATCATCAGAATGAAATATATGTGCTATTTCGAAGAACGTGAATATATCGCTCTCCTAATAAAATACTCCGTATACGATTAATCTTTATGTCAACTTTCGTGCACTCTTATGACTATCAGCGGTTGCATAATTTGAGATAACAACTCCATTGCCAGTTACACTATCAGATAAAATATAATTAGTGTGAGATGTTAAACATGTGAATACTTCCAAGATGATGACATATTTCGTAATCTCTTAATGCACTGTCCTCATCTCGAGTCAACAGACCTCCTTCCAGTAGAAGTTTTATCTCATTTTTAGTCATTACTGACTAACGGCTTTACGAATATATTGAAGTCTATTGTATTTTGCTTTTGTTAGGTAGTGGGGGTCGCTAGAAGGAAAGATCGTCTAGATGTATTAGCACAAAAGACATCTGGCAAAAAAGGAAAATTATATCCAATACAAGGAGATGTGACCAAGGAAGAAGATATTATGAGGGTATTCAAGTGGGCGAAAGATAACCTGGGACCAGTGCATGTATTGGTCAACAATGCTGGTGTACTTTGTAACTCTGCAATTGAAGATGGGAAGACGGAAGATTGGCTACAAACTATTAACGTTAATGTAGTTGGATTGTGCATGGGGACCAGGTAAATATTTGATCTTACCTCTCTATGTCTCAAGTGCCTTCCCTCACCGGGACTCCATGGCGATGTCGCTAGCAGCCGTAGGCAAACTAACCTATTCCCTGAAAGTAAACCTGGTTCCCGTCCGATTTAGGTCCAATTTTGGTTGGTAGGGCAGGTTTCTAAATTGGACGTCCTCGAACGTCCCATTGAGATCTTATTTTTCTTACTGTTTTGCAAGTGCTCTCCAGGAAATTGAATACTGATACGATAATGATCAATATGGTTAAAATCGTATTGTTGTATATAATAGTTTCAAATTTATCAAATAGTATTTTGTTTTAAGGCTGCGTCATCATGTAATTTTAGTTTGTCGCCTGTGAGGACATCTATAAAGGGTACAAACTTAATAGCTCTTATTGGTATGAAATAAAATAGACCTACCTGTAACACCGCAGTACGGCCACGGTCTTCTTCCAACACTATACATGAGTTTCTGTTGCAAGCACGTTTCCAAAACTAGCAAGTACGTCTTTTTGATCGTAAGTTCAATAGATATGAGTGTAAACTAATAATTGCCGTCTCGCAGAGGCAATGCTTTCGTCCAGCGAGGGAGTTCCAATTTCTAATTTGGCAACTAGGTGAAATATTTTCAAGAAAATGCGATGCGCCGATGTGTGTCGTCATCTTTCCGCCAATATCCTAGTTAGTTGGATTTGTAGCTGTTGCACCGAATTCTTGCAAGCTCACTTTATTCCAAGGTAAGCTTGCTTTTGCTTCTTCGTTCTTTTTTTTATATCGAAACAGCCGCGCAGGCAGAAACCTAAATGCCGGAACACCGCGGCTGCTATGATGATCCCAAAGAAATTTTGTTAATACGATTTTTGAAGTGCCTAAGGTTAGTAGAACTGGGAAAAGCTGCCTCCCGTAGATTGTTCCACAATCTAGACACCCTCGGGACAAAGGAGCTGTCGTATCGGCCAGTTCTGGATGTACGAAGTTTGACACGGTTAGGATGGGACGCCGAAGTCAGGCGGGTCTGTCTGGCAGGCACATCGTGCGGCGGCATCATGGAAGAGAGCTCTGAGGAGCAAAGCCCGTTGGTGTAGCGATAGAAAAGAGCTAGATCGCCGACGACCCGCCGGTGCGAAAGAGTCCCGAGACTGTCTGTTAAAGAAGAGTCATCGATCAGTTGGACCGCCCTCCTCTGGACAGCATCGAGCATGGTCAATGTAGTCGGGGCGGCAGCATCCCAAATGTGTGAGCAATACTCGAGGCTAGGCCTTATCTGGGCCTGGTATAGAGTGAGAAGGTCATGCGGAGAAAAGTACTTCTTAGCCCTAAACAAATAGCCTAGCTTTTTCCCAGCAGCTGCAGCTATTGAAGAGATGTGTTCATGCCAGATCAGGTCCTCGGTGATCTGGACTCCGACCAGCCGAAATGAATGACTCTTTGGTAGAACTCGGCCGTTCATCGAAACTGTATGAGCGCTAGGACGCTTTTTGTTCGTCAAAGTACAGTACTGTGTTTTGAAGGCATTGAACTGTACAAGATTGTTGCGTCCCCAAACAGTGATAGCCTCCAGGTCTCTTGTCAGAGAAGAAGTCGTCGCTGGTCTTCATTTTTCCAGCTCAGCGGCAGAGATCGGCTTGTCACTCTGAATTCCTGCATGTAGAGTGCTGTCGTCAGCGAAGCTGTATATTGGGTTGATCGTGCAGGAAAGGAGGTCGTTGATATGTAAGAGAAACAGTGTTGGAGCCAAGACCGATCCCTGGGGAACACCCGAGTTGACGTTGTGGGATGAAGAGGAGAATCCATGTGACGTTCGAGGAAGTCCAGAAGCTCGCGATTTATGCACCTCTCTATCACTTTACTTATAACAGAAAGCAGAGCTATAGGCCTGTAGTTGTAAGGGTCGGTCTTAGATCCTTTTTTGGGATGGGCTGTACATGAGAAAATTTCCAGTTTTCTGGGAAGGTGCCGGATTCATAAGATATCTGGAAGAGATGCGAAAGAACTGGAGCAAGCTCCGCTGCACATCTCTTCAGTACAATGGCAGGAATGAAGTCCGGACCAGAAGCTTTGTTGATGTCGAGCGACAAGAGCACTCGTCTTACGGTCTTATGCCTGAATGTTACCTCCCGCATAGTGTGGGGAACCCTTTGAATTGACGGCACTTGGGCGTTGGTGGGGACGTCCATGGTGGAATTGGCAGCACAGATCTTGGCTAGCACTTCCGCCTTGGCCTTTGAGTCGAATACAATAGTTCCATCCTGACACGTAAGTGGTGGAAGGCTACTGAGTGAGAAGTTCTTTTCAATCTGCTTGGCCAGCGTCCAGAAAGACCGACTGCCATTGCGCTGCGACATTACCCTGTGCCTAACTTTTATGTCATGCTGGTTTTTGGCATTGCGAACCGCTTCGTTATATTTGTTTCTGGACTCGACGTCGGCTTGTCTGTTCTCTACAGTGGGGTTTTGTAAGTAGGTTCTGTGTGCCTTGATCTGCTGGCGAGCAGTGTTACATGATTTGTTGAACCAGCCGTTGGACCCTTGTTTAGGAATTTTCACTGTGTGAGGGATGGATTCCTCCATTCCGACGTGGATAATTTCGGTTATTAAAGAACAGACAGTCGACGCATCCGCGTCAGTGAAACAGACATCTCTCCAAGGAAAGCTAGAGAAGAAGTCTCTGAGCCCCTCCCAGTCGGCATGTCCGTAATGCCAATTTTTGCGGCCTGTCCGAGTTTCTGCTGCCACAGCGGCTTCTGACCGAAACCCTTCATGTTGATTGTTATTGGATAAGTTCGCTCGTTTAAGATGTTTTATTTGTGTTGTAGCAATGTGTAACAGATTATTAGGAATTCCTTCTAAGATATCCAGAAGTTTAATTACCTGACGTCAACGCAAGACACATAACTTTGGTTTGGTTAATATTGCCCTAACGTTGTCTCATTTGCAGTGGGGAAAATGTTCCCAAAAACGAGACTCCAAAATGCCTTGTCTTCATTCATTTCTAGTACATGTACAATAATAAAGTACAATAATACAACTCCAGGCCTATAAATATTCCTGCTTTCTATTATAAGTAAAGTGTTGGAGAGGTGCATGAATCGAGAGGTTCTGGATTACATCGAACGCTACGGTTTGATTAGGACATGGCGGTATGGTTACCGGCGCCAGCTATTCCACAGGAGATCTCCTACGACAAGTTTTCCTTTTCATCCACAATGTCAACGCGGTTGTTCCGCAGGGATTGGTCTTAGCTCCTTCACTGCTCCTATTACATATCAACGATCTCCTTTCCTGTACGATCAATCCATTCCAGAGCTTAGCTGAGGAATAACAAGAGACTAAAATAGCTTTATTAAGAGACAGCACTCTTCATGCAAGAAATCAGAGTGTTAGGCCGATCTCTGCCGATGAGCTAGAGAAAGGAAGACTAGCAGCGACTTCCTCTCTGACGAGAGATCTGAAAGTTGTCACCGTTTGGAGACACAACAATCTTGTGATGCTTCCAAATCACAGTACTCTACCTTGACACCAAAAAGCGCCATAGCGTGATGTGCCCGTCAGACAGACCCGCTTGACTTCCGCCCCTCATCCAAACGATGTCAAACTTTGTTCATCCAGAACTGGTCAATACGACCGCTCATTTGTTCCTAGGGCATCTAGAATATGGAACAATTCTTAGGCAGGTAAAAAATTGAATTAAAAAAGTTTATTTAAGTTCCTTATAGCAGCCGCGGTGCCCTGGCACAAAAAATCGTAAAACATTTGTAATACACATTAATGTATGGGTAGTTTGTGAGCGATCAATGTTGTTGGGCGTCATGTACTTTTTATGTGTTATTCTGTAGAGGTAGGTGTCTATTTAATCATCTCTCTATTATACGGAATAATGTATGAGTTATTGTGTTTTTGTCTCACTGATCCATCTTTTCAAATAACGAATAAAACAGATCATATCTCAAAGTATGACGGGAAGAAATCGGAATAACTGTTATGGACAATGTGGCGTCTCCATTTTTAAGTGCATTTTACTTTTTGTGGCTATACACTTGGAAAAAAGAAAAGCCTATTGGTCAGATTGAACGCTCACAGGCGTCGGCCCTGGCAGGGTTTCTACGAATTTTTCGCGTCAAAATTGGTTCCATTATTTGTGCTATTATGGTTCAAATATATTGCAGCGCTGCGATGTGACAGTATTTTGGTAGCGTATCCGTCACGTATTTCAATAGGTCGCTTAGGTTACGGTTGATGGCGACAACGTCATGACGTCTCGATGGAGGAGACCAGTAGAAAAGCTGCTGTCTAGTTTACCACTTTTGGATCTACCGTCTCTTTTGCAGCCCTTGAACGGGCATTCTTTACTGACATACGATCATGCCATTCTTTGTCTTTCCTTCAATCCACCCTTCCAGGACAATTGACAAGTCCACAGTCCCCACAAAAAGATTGCCATTCGTTTCTCTCGTGAAGAAACAGACATCTTTGGCTCAAGAAAGGAATGGCCTGATTGGATGACAGGAAAGAACGCTCTTGAGATCAACAGGCTGATAATACGTTGATAATTACAGAGAAGCGATCAAAGATATGAAAGAGCACAACATCGATGGACACATCTTCAACATCAATAGCGTTGCAGGACACTTCGTTTTCAATTATCCAAAATTAGAAATTTACACAGCAACAAAATATGCGGTTACCTCCTTAACAGCATCTATGAGGCAGCAACTGGCGAACCAAAAATCGAAAATCAGGTTTACGGTAAGAATTATTACATGCATCAAGCCATTGTTTTCCTAATTTCTGGTTAGCCTTGAAATGAAGGTCTTGGTCTGGGTGCGTGACTTAACAAAATTAAATACCTATTTGTTGTACGATTAGATTTAATTTATATTTACTATTAGAGTGAGTTCTCAGGACTGCGAGACGTAACATTTTTTCTGAAAAACTAGATGTGGGGGGGCATTGGGAAGAGTTGATATGTATGTTCAGCGCCAGCGCAGGTTTCGTCTTATATTTGTCTGCTCTAGGATCTTGGAGTAGTACTGAGGCATAAAGGATGTACATGTAAAAGCTCAGAGACTATTATTGTTAAAAATTATTTTTCGATTAGCTTCGTTTGACTAGAAAACGTCTAGTTTCACTTCCAATTATCTAAGTATATCGAGTAGTCATTATCTCAAACAGAATACCGCGGAAATAATGATATTTCCAACTTATGTAATTTATAATTTTATTGGTTTCATTTCAGAGTATTAGTCCAGGCTTGGTTGACACAGAAATCGTTGCGGGTCTAGATTTGAGTATCACAACTGGGGGTCCACCGTCGTTGAAGTCGGAGGATATTGCTGACGCCATAGAATATGCTTTATCGACACCACCACATGTACAGGTAACTCAGGGTCTCATTTATAAGCATTCCTTGAGGACTGAATGCCGTTTGAGCAATTGATCTTAACCGAACAATGACCCCTTTCTTGGGAAACATTAAAAGAAGTATCTAACATTTGCGTGTCACAATTTTAAAAAATTACAGTCCCCAGAATGTTCCTGCTTAAGAATTTGGTTTAAAAACTTTCAGAATTTTCTAAATTTTCTTTACTCTCATAACTTCAATGTTTTGGAAATCCTCCAACTTTATAAAATTTTGGAAGCATTGAAAACTCGAAAAATTTCGATATATTCAGAATTTCCGATATTTTAAAAATTTTGCAATTTATTAAAATTATTAAATTTTGAAATTTTTGGAAGCCCTCGAAATCTTTGAAATATCGAGAAATGTAAAAACATTAAAAATTTTATAAGCTTTCGAAGTTTTCAAACCAAGGTTTCTATAAATTTTCAACACAAATTTTATCAGATTCCCACACTTCTCAAAGATTGTACAGTTTTTAAACAGCAAAATTTTTGGTGCTTTAAGGTCATACAAATTTTCTAAATTTTGAAGATCTAAATACTTGAAACTCTTGAAAATCGAAAACATCGAAATATTTTACAATTTTGGTAGCTCTGAAAGTCCTTAACATTTGGTTTGAACATTGTGAAAATTTTAAAATGTTTACAATTTTTTTAGTATTGAATCAAGATTTCCGAATTTTGTAAGCCTGCAGTTGCAGCTTTTGCAGCCTATTGTGAAAGGTACATGGTAAGGCTCACTCATCAAACGGCACTCAACTCTCGAATAACGTTAAAAAATGTAACCCTTAGACTATATTTTGCGCGACTTATATGTGTCTCGCCTGTCAGTCTGGTGAGACTTGAACCAACTTCTTGAGAATTCACAATAAAATTTATATTTTGTTTCTTTTCAGGTCCACGAAATTATGATATGGCCAACTGGAGCGCTATCATCATGAACGGCATCCATTTTCTTAAGCGCTTTATGTTTACTACAATTACAATGTTAAGTGTTTCAGTCATATGATCAAGTGCCACGTTATTCGAATCAGTCTCAGTACACCGTGTTACTGCGAGTATATTCACACGATTCGTCATGACACGATTTTTTTGCCCCAGTATTCTTAAAATTTAAGTACATCAGTATCTTCGAATTGTAAACATTCAATAATATGTCGCATAAGATTGTTAATTTTTAAGCTACTTAACAATATTGTCTTCCTATGTGCTCAAAGAACTGTTCTGTTTTGTTGTACAAGTGCGAAGTATAAATACTTATTATAAATACGAGTATAAAAGACCGTTATTATCCTCACCACTTTATAAACCTGCCTTGCCGTTCAAGATCATTACCAGCAAATTACTAACATTTATTTATTATCCCTCGTAGATCAGATTAATGTGAATATAGTTTCAAGATAAACACACCAACATCGCTAGGTGAAAGTCAATATGTTGTTTAATTGGGGGCACTGAACTTCATCTGAACTTGTAATCAGTAGTAGCGATACTCAAAGAATTTGTGGCGTTGCATCCGGATATGGTCATGGAAAACAGCAAAATTGTCAACTTTGCTTTTTAGCATCAAACTACCAGTGTTTATTGTATCGTATCAGTACGTGATGATGTAACAAAAAAAAGTGCGATCGGTTTCCTGCTATAATCGGTCATTCCACGAAGAGTCTTCTCTTGATATATCTACTCTTTGGTACGGGTCTTCCACATCTATGTTTGCGACTGTCAATATAACAACTTATACAGGGTGTTTCAGTTTATTGTTTCTAACTTCAAGATTCGATAGAACTTTTAAAATTAATGCATAAAGTCTATATAAACATGGGTGGAAAAATGCGTGGCTTCCGAAATACAGGGTGTTTAAATTTACTTTTTAAAATAGTTTTTCTTGAAACATTTCGAACAATATTTGAAGTATAATAGTGGAAATTGGTATACAAGGGTTTTTTGGTACGAAAAAATGAACCATGGGCATAGTTTTACTGTAGCCGCTAGAAGGCGCTCTCTACTGTACTAGTGTATTAAAATGACCGAAAAATTTTTCTTAGTGCAACTTTTGGCTTTTTGAACAAAAAAACTGATTCCTCACACTTTTCTGCATAAAAAGGCTCTTATGTGAGTTTTCGGTATAGTTAGCCTTTTTTGAGATATTTTGATTTTTAGGGTTCGATGCATTTTTAATTATTTATGGGAAAATAATATTTTTTTTTACATTTTCGATTTGGGCATTACAAGTAATTAAGATGATCGTTTAGACTGTGTTTTTAAACACAGCAATAATTCCTAACTCCAAATAAACACAATAAAACAGAATATTAATTTGTTTAATCTTCCAATATTATTTTTAACAAATTAAATTAATTATTTACAACTAAAATGCTATTGGATAGTTAGGACAAGCATACAAAATCTAAAGTGGTTGCTCGAAATGTAAACTCGATTGTTCAAAACACAATTCACATCTACGAATGATCGAACGTGGTATAGCATTATTCAAATAAGACCTTGTTTCATCACATGCATTCCTGATTATGTCTATTAGCATATCTCTTGTGGTTATGGGAGTCTGGTACACTTTTTTTTTTTAGAAATCCCCACACAAAGAAATCTAATGGATTTAGGTCAGGGGATGGTGGAGGCCAGGCGACTGGTCCTCCACGGCCGATCCATCTTTCTGGATAATTTTCGTACAGCCAGTTTCTAACTACTTTCGAATAATGAGCTGGACAACCATCAAGCTGGAACCAGGCCAATCTTCTTAAATCTAACATAACATCATCCCACATATTTGCATGTTCAGCCTTTAAAAATTCCAAGAGTGTCGCAGCATTTAACCTTGCAGGCAAAAGGTAGGGTCCAAATAGTCGATTACGGTAGATACCAATCCACACGTTCACACTAAATTCATACTGAAAAGTTCTTTCCCGAATTGCATGCGGATTTTCATGCGACCAAATATGTTGATTATGAAAATTCACCACTCCACGTCTAGTGAAGCATGACTCATCGGTCCATAAAACGTTACTTAAAGACTCCCTATTATTATCAGTTCTATCAAGAATCCACTGACAAAAGGTGATTCTTCGTTCTCCATCCCCTGGCTGTAGTCCTTGCACAGGTTGCAAATGGTAAGGACGTCTATGGTCATTTCTAAGAACACGGTGAACATGGCTTGCTGAAATTCCCAAGGCACCAGAAACTCTCCTAACACTTTTGGTCGTATCTCTATCAAACTCACGCAGAATCATACGGGTAAATCTGCGCTGACAAACATTTATGTTTTGATCCCTTTGGAGATTTCCAAAACAATTTTCAATTATTTGGCGATGCACTCCTACAAACACTGAGCGAGTTGGATGTCGTCTATTTGGAAATCTTCGTGCGTATTCTCTGGCTGCTTCTGACTTTTCAACGTAATTTTATCATAAGTAATTAAAAATGCAACGAACCTTAAAAATCGAAATATCTCAAAAACGGCTAACTATAACGAACATTCACGAGAGAGTTTTTTATGTTGAAAAGTGCGAAGAATAATTTTTTTTATTCAAAAAGCAATAAATTGCACTAAGAAAAAATTTTCAGTCATTTTAGTACACTACAGGTACAGTAGATAGCGCCTTCTAGCGGCTACAGTAAAACTATGCCCATGGTTCGTTTTGTCGTACCAAAAAACCCTTGTATACCAATTTTCAGTGTTATACATCAAATACTGTTCGAAATATTTAAAAAAAACTATTTTAGAAACTAAATTTAAACACCCTGTATTTGGGAAGCCACGCATTTTTCGACCCATGCTTATATAGACTTTATGCATTAATTTTAAAGGTTCTATCGAATCTTAAAGTTATGCAACAATAAACTGAAACACCCTATACAAACATGGTAGCGTCTTAAGATACAAGAACAATGTCTGTAGTCTGTATCAGGCCCAGTTTTTCAGTCGCAGGGTAACGACGAATTGATCGTAGAAAATCGTTTTTCAATAGTATGTTTATAGTAAAACCGTAGTTATTATTAACCAGAGCTGCTTTCCAGTGGTTTTTGGTTTGGGACTGGTATACTTCCGAACTATTATAAAAACACTGCACAGGAATACAATGTTCAGTGAAACGGTCTTGGCGCTGAGCAGTAATTTCGAGCTACTCTGAGTAACTCAGCTGGGTCACTGGAAAGCAGCTTAGAAGCCCATGTATGAGTTATCTAGGAAAGCAGTACTAAAATAGCTATCAATACCTGAAGTTTGTTAGCATAGACGTTAGCATTCATCCAGAAATTAACAAATTCATATTAGCTTATGGATAAACATTTGTATAAATCAAAGGTGAAGCATGTTAATGGTAAGAAGGCAAAAAATAATCCGCCATCGGTCGAATTACTTTGATGTATTTGACGACCTGGATTTCCTTGAAAAGGCTGTAGAAAGAGAACTTTTCTCTTTACAGGATACTGTGCCACTTTTTTGTTCTTTATTATGCTTTTTTTTACTGACCAATGATACTTATATCTTTTCCTAATCTTTTGAGAAATTTTGAGCTTTTTTTCTGACGTTATCGTTCTCCATGCTCGGAAAGTTTTTGATAAATGCTAGCACCTGGAAGAGCCATATTCTATTCTGCGCCGCTGAATACCTTTATTTTTGGGTTGTGCATTATAGGAGTGATCCAAAAAATACGGCGAACATGATTAGACATATTTTTGCCACCATTCCTACAACTCCGTCTATACGCTCCACTACTAAATATTTGTACAAGCAATGTTTGAAAAACCTTACCTTGCTTGACGAAGGTTTCACTCAAGAGAGAGAGAGAGAAGTCATGTACGACACGTATGACAAAACACACTCGCTGAGCGTACAAAACGCACAGAACACGATGTCTAAGAACCGCATGTGCATGGTTGCAGCATAAATATAAAATGAACTCATAGTAGGTTAACTGGCGCCGTCAAAAAACTTCAAAACGTCTATACAGGTAACTACAAGCTCACTTCTTGGTTTTGATTAACTAACCAGAAAGTTCACTTGCGATTAAATGTTAAATAGCCGAGATATTTTGAGAAAGTGAGTGACAACAACAGTCCGGTATCACCCAATTTATGTGTGCGTGCAAGATCGAGTAGCAGTTGCTTTATGTATTTGCTTGAGCACCGTGCAGTTTCCCTTGGCGAATTAAAGCTACGCACGCGGTACCCTTACTCAATATGTTTACAGTCCACACTAAAACTACTACCATTACTTTCATACATCCATCTCTCTCACACTTTGCACGCTCACTTTTGTCTGTGTAAACTTAGACTTGCCGTGTCTGATAAAATATTTGTTAACTTTGGTGTAGGATCAGTGTTAGGACCTTTTCCGTTCTTGGTCTACATAAATGACCTGGATCAATCAACTGCACCAGCAAAATTCACTATACATATATGCTGATGACACCTCTATTGTGACTTCTGATAGATCAGAAACGTCTCTACAACATAAATGCAATACCGCAATGTTCATGATCAACTCCTGGCTTAACGGCCATAACCTTTGTTTATATACAGATGAAACAGCAATACCTTGTTTTTACAAGAGGTAGATAAAGGAATTGTAATGAACTTACCTACGGTAATTGTTGGGGATTCCTTTGTAGCTGCAAATAATGACGATGCGACAAAGTTTCTGGGCCTTCACATCGATCCATGCTCAAGTTGGGAAATATCACTGCAGTCACTTGATTTCTAAGTTACATTCAACTGCATTCATGATAAATAATTTGAGATCAGTCCTCGTATTTGATCAATTATTGTTGTGAGGTACAAAAGAGGTCAGGTTGGAGTATCTAACATGCATTTGTGTAAAGATTTCAAATTTGCATTTATGTTTATAAGAACATAAATAAATTTAGGACCGTTGGTGATATTAACAGTGTATCCACTGGACAACGCGCTGACATGTAAGTTCGACATTGTAGACTTAATTGGGAATATAATACGCCAGATTTCACTGAGGTGAGACTTTGTGACAGAATACCCGATAATTTAAGGAAAAGGGATACTTTCCGTTTCAGGTTTCAGGGTATACTTGGTAGAACATTGTTTCTATACAGATGAAGAATTCCTTGGCACTTAACATTTTTTTTGTTGCCTTTTTTCGCGTTTTATTGTAGTCCTAGTTTAATCTTCATTTTTTTGACTGTCAGTTTACATGCCTTTCATTGATCTTTGTAGTACAAAACATAGCTCTCCCTGCAGACATTCGTCAGAAAATTTCTGACAAAAGAGCTGCAATTAAGCAAGCGAAGAGGTCTTGTCACCCAGATGACATTCACAGAGCAGCTAATCTTGTTCATGAAGTGAGAAATGCTCTTCATGAATTCCGTAATGAGCAATGGAGCGACTTTCTGTCGGGGATGCTTGACTCAAGTATTCCTCTCTGGAAAGTTGCAAAGTCGCTCAGAAACGGAAAGCGAGAACAACTCCCGCACATCCACGGTCCTAGGGGCATAGTCTGTAGGACAGAAGAAAAGGTCGAGGTTTTCGCTGATGCAATGGAGAGTCAATTCTCTCCGAACTATGACCTTGATAATGACCTCGACGAGGAGCAACATATTGTAAGATCCGTCAGGAGATATTTTAGGGCCAACGGCGTCAGTGGCAGTAGTGCCTCCCTTAGTGATTTTTCCTCAGAGGAATCTTCAGATGATTCCTCAATTGAAGACCTGCACGGCACATCAGCGAGATCTCCTGAGACTCCGCATTGCACACCAGCAGAGCTTCAAGGTCATACTAAAGACCTCAAGGTGCGTAAAGCACCTGGAGAGGATCGAATCACTAATAAGGCGCTGAAGCTACTTTCGCGGAAGTCCTTAACTTATCTCGTGGCAATAATCAATGCCATGCTAACGACACAGCATTTCCCAACGGCGTGGAAGACCGCCGATGTCATAATGATTCCAAAGAAGGTGGGTTCGATATTCCCTCAGGATTACCGCCCCATTAGTCTACTGTCAGCTCCTTCTAAGCTCGCTGAAAAGTTGATTCTACGTCACCTTGAAAATTTCTCGGCAGACCACAATGTGATTCCTGACGTGCAATTTGGCTTTCGGTCTGAGCATAGTACGGAGCTACAGGCCATAAGGCTTGTTGAACGAGTAACCAGCGGGTTCACCCGTAATGAAAGTACTGGCATCTTGCTACTGGATGTCTCAAAGGCATTTGACAAGGTGTGGCACAAGGGCCTTCTCTACAAATTGATCCATAAGGGCTCTTCCCCTTCTGGCTCCTAAAACTTTTGAAATCCTTTCTCGAGGGTAGGAAATTTCGGATCAAAATTAATAACGTTCTGTCGACAACACGGCCCATCAAAGCCGGTGTCCCTCAGGGTTCGGTTCTTGGACCAGTCCTTTATTCACTTTTTATTCATGACATCCCTTGCCCCAGCAGCTGTGAAACCTATCTCTATGCTGATGACACTGCCCTGGTGCCCAGTGATGCTCATGGGAAAGCTCTGCCTTCACAGAGACCTTGACATCCCTTACCTAAGGGACTACATCAAACAACAAGCGCAGCTACGTTACAGCCAAGCAGAATCGCATAACAACCCTTTGTTGCGCGAGTCAGTAGACTACATAGTCGAGCAAGTTCGCAAGCACACCAGGCCGCGACCCGCACTGTGAACAAAATTAAATCGTGCGACTTTAGGACCAACCAAAATTATAATTTTTCTTCAACAACCAATCCCAAAATTAATTTTAGGATCAATTTAAAATTGCCGAATACTAACTGGCAACGCCAAGGCACCCCTCAAATTGATGCACTTCTTTTTTCTTTGTTCTATCTCAGTGGTTCCTAACCTGGGGGTAATTACCCCCGCAGGGGTAAAACGGAGATTCTAAGGGGGTAACACGGGATGGCACGAAATAGTATTAAAATAGCAATAAACAAAATAATAGTACGGTAAACGGTAGCACGGCGCTCTCATGCGCGCGGCTGATGGCGACGGTGGCGGGTGAGCTGCGGTGTGGGAGGGGTGAAGCATGACTAGCGGCGGGCCGGACAGGCGGCGATGTTCATTTTGTTTACCTAAGCTTAGGAAGAACACGCATTTTATTTGTTCCGCCGCGCATTGCAGAAATCGTATTTTTAAACGGTTTAAATTCAAAGGTAAGCAGTGTTTGTTAATATCGTCACGTTAATATTGTCACGAGTGATTTGTTTACGTAGGTATGTATTAGTTGATTTTTGTTTTAGGTACCTACAGGTGTTTTTGACATGGCTTCTACTTCATCTGGCAAAAAGCGCACTTATAAAGAAGCATTTCTACAATGGGGTTTCACAAGCATCGTAGACAAAAATATAGAAAAGCCTCAGTGTGTTTTATGTAATAAAGTGCTTAATCCAGAAAGCATGAAACCGAGCAAATTAAAAGAACATTTTGCTAAAGTTCACAAGGAGTTCGCAGATAAAAATATAGATTTTTTTAAGAAAAAGGAGAGGATTCTGAAGTCTTCCCGCATGGATTCAACAGGCAATATACAGAAAGCAAATGAATCATGCCTTCAAGCTTCATACAAAATTGCTTATCGCATCGCACGTAATAAAAAACCACACACTATAGGAGAGGACCTCATCAAACCTTGCTTGTTAGATGCAGTAGCACTTGTTATTGGTGAGCAACATGTAGCTAAGATTAAACAAATCTCACTCTCAAACACTACTATTCAAAGTCGCATATGTGAAATGAGTGCCGATATTCTAGCAACCGTTATTTCTGAAATAAAGGAAAGTCATATGTTTGCGCTGCAGTTGGACGAGTCCACAGATGTTGCTTCGTGTTCACAATTATTGGTGTTTACACGATACATTAAAGATGATGATGTAAAGGAGGAATATTTGTTCTGCAAGTCTTTGCCCACTACTACTCGCGGCGAAGACGTATTTCAAACGCTAAAAGAGTTTATTGAGGAAAATGGCCTAGACTGGTTAAAGCTGATTGGTACTTGTACAGACTTCCATGATGGGCATCCGTTCTGGTTTTCAGGCACTCGTGAAGCAAGTTGCTCCTCAAGTTTTCGGCTATCATTGCTTGATACACCGTTACGCTTTGGCTGTGAAAACGCTTCCATCAGATTTGCTAAACACGTTGAGTGACATAGTAAAAATTGTTAATCATATTCGAGGCAGCGCTACTAACTCAAGATTATTCAAAGTTTTGTGCGATGAAGTTGGTGCTACATTTAATGCTCTTTTGTACCATACAGAGGTACGTTGGTTATCAAGAGGCAAAGTTCTAAGTAGGGTTTACGAATTACGAGAAGAAATTGGATTGTTTTTTGAAAATCAGAGAACACAAAAAGAAAAAGAATATTATGCAAAAATTAAAGACCAAACATTTATTCTAAAAATGGCGTACCTTGCTGATTTTTTCACTGAAATTAATAGTCTGAATATTTCACTGCAAGGAAATGAAACGAATATTTTGACGTTGCAGGATAAAATCGCAAGTTTTTTGCGCAAATTGGAACTTTACCAACGCAGAGTTCAAGCTGGTGATGTGTCAATGTTTACACAACTAAGTGAGCAATTAGTAAATAATAAACAAGAGAAAATCTCGTTAGAAAATTCCGTGGTTCAACATTTAACTGCCGTGATAGACTCACTGCAGCAATATTTTCCGAACATGGACAGTCGTGAGTCCTACTCCTGGATTTTAAGACCATTTTCTACTTGCGTCGATATTTTCAAGGACGAAGATGTGTCAGCGAAAGTAGAGTTTCTCGGGTTGCGTGAGAATAACTCATTGAAAGTTGATTTTCAAAATGATAAACTAAGCACATTTTGGCGAAAAGCAGCTGCAGAATATCCCATTATAGCTGACAGAGCTTTAAAAATGTTGATTCCATTTGCTACAACTTACAGATGTGAAACTGGTTTCTCAACTCTTGTTACATTAAAAACAAAAGCCAGAAACCGTCTGAATGTTGAGCATGACATGAGATGCGCGTTGAGTGAAACCGAACCTAATATTGTCAAACTTGCGAATGCAAAGCAATTTCAACCTTCACACTAGTTAACTCCAAGATTTACATATTACTTTACTTTACTAGTTACCTAAACGTGCAATTTCTTAGAATTTAGTTAGATAATAAACATATTTTCGTTCGAATTTGTGTGGTTTTAATTATTTTAAATTGGCTAGGGGTAAACTCAATTCCCATACTTGTTCACAGGGGTAGTGACATTGAAAAGGTTAGGAACCACTGTTCTATCTCCTTCCTTCCTTCCTTTCTTCTTCCCTTCTTTCTCCCTGACTTTGTTTGGTATCTGGGCAATCAGACCTGACAGACCTACTGACTTACAAGACTTCAACCAAGAGCAAAGGTACTACGGACCGCTCTGACAGACAATGACGAATAGTATAAAACATAGCGTTACCTGAAAATACAACAAACGGACAATGTCGATAGTTTTTGCCAAAATTATTGGAGTATCTGTGATTTATTAAACAATTCATCTGTGCAAGAACAGCTGCGTTTAAGACGTGTTTGCTCAATTTGTAATTCTCTTGTAGAGCTTCAGTTCAGCACATGAGTTAGTCGATGAGGTTACTTATTTTGTACAGTACTGATGACGAATCCGTCAATTGCCGTGAAGAGAACTTCACTTATTCCATATGGCGTTGTGACAGCAAAAATCTGAGAAAGGAACTATAAATGACGTCAGAGCCCCAATTCTTGAACTAGAGGGGAATAATCACTAGGATCAAACGGGCATAGCTTTCGACCTTGTGCTGCGATATCAAATTCTGACAGCTTTTGACATTTGTGATACCAGGTTGAGTATGGATAGCTTTTCATGAAAGCGTGTTGAAAATGACAGATTTATCTTGATGCACAAGCTTAATATTTCCCGAGTTTCCCATATTTATGCATGTCAATATGACAAATGCACATTTAATTAATTTTAACTATAGATACGGCCATAGGGAAATTTTCGATACCTACTGGGCAATTTTAAGTAAAGTAATATCATAACTGCATCTAATTTTTCCAAAATAGAATCAGAAAAAAGGTTGCTAAGTAGTATGCGCAAATGTTTTCTGTTAAAGAAATATTAGGTACTTTGCATTGTGTTTTTTCGATTTTAATCACAGGAAAAAATTAGATCCCCGAATGGTATTTGACAAGACTAGTTCATGAGTAACAGATTACTGGCGTTCTAGGAGACCATAATTACTTGTTAAAAGGGATGTATTTTAAGTTTTGCATATGGAAATAAAACAACACGCTAGGCAGTTTTAAATGACTTTATTGTTTTTCGAAGTATTCTCCACGAAGATTAATAAACATCTGCATGCGCCCGAACCAATTTTCGAAGCACTTATTCCACTCGTTCGCTGGCAGGTCCAAAACGGCATTTTTGAATGCGTCAACTGCTTCTTCTGGTGACTGGAACCTTTGACCACGCAGTCTGTTTTTAATTTTCGAGAAAGTAAAAAAATCGTTAGAATTTAGATCGGGACTATATGCAGGATGGTCCAATAATTCCACGTTTTCTTCCGTTAAATACTGCCTTGTTTTTTGGGCTGTGTGCGAGCTTGCATTGTCTTGGTGGAGCATGATTCTTCTTTCGGGGTTGGTTTTTCGAAGCTCGGTGATGACTTTTGGCAAACAAATAGTGGCATACCAATCCGCAGTAACAGTTCCTTGATCATTAAGAAGAAGTGTTGCAATATAACCTGCTTTTGACACAAAAGTCGCGACCATCTTTTTCGAAACACTTCGAGCATGGATGACTTTTGTTGGCTTTTCTTCACCTTGGAGTACCCAAACAGCCGACTGTCGTTTATTTTCTGGTTCATAACAGTAAATCCACGATTCATCACTAATAATACTGTACCCATTTTTTGAGTTTCCGGAATTGAAACGGTCAAGCGTTTTTGACACCAATTAAGCCTGGCTGCTTTCTGCTCTTCAGTCAACAGGTGGGGTACGAGAAACTAATTTTCTTACTCCTAATTCTTCATGTAAAATTTTTTGAATTCAGGTCTTTGAGATCTTCAAGGACGCCTCAATCTCGCGATATGTCACATGTCTATCTTCAATGATGAGTTTGCGCACAGCATCGACGTTTTCCTGGGTGACTGCAATTTTTGGTGCACCCACCCTGGGTTAGTCGCTAAGACTCACCCGTCCACGTTTGAATTCTCCATACCAACGGGAAATTGTCGACTGATGTGGCGCTTCGTTGCTGAAAACAGACCGTAACTCAGCAAGGCATTCTTGTTGCGATAATTGTCTCTGATAGTTGTCATAAATTATGGCGAGAAAATATTCTCGGTTGAGTTCCATTTTTCTAATGATTTTGTGACACTTGAAAATTCACTGTATTAAGAACACTGCACGTACTGTTGCGAAACTTTGAATTTAAGTTTTCTAAAAAGTGAGGATAAGATTCAGTACTGACGTTCGATCCGCACGGCCTACTATGTTTCTATGTGCAAAACTTAAGAGACATCCCTCGTATCAAAGGTATGGTAATTTTTGGTGGCAACCGCTGTCAGGTTTTACCGCGGGTAAACTCTAAAAAACTGCTGACAGGTGCTGTCATACAATTTTTCCATCTAGAAACCATTTGTAATTGAAAATTGCGTGCTTGTGATTTGTAGAAATTAAGACGAGGGAAATAGTCGACAAAATAATATGATCCTGAGTTCTTCATGAGAAATGAACATTGCCTGACTAAAAAAACTCAATATGTGCAAAGTTGGGATAGTATTCGCTCTGTACCATTTTTGACCCGCTTAGGTTTTGAAAGTTAGGTATTTATTCTTTCAAGTTTCATTAAAAGATTATCTGAAAAAATCTATATTGACTGGCCTATATAATAATTACTGAAAACAGGCGATCTCTCGGTACGGTATACGAAAAATAGTAGACAAAGTTAGCGTATCTCAACAATTATTTAATTTAGCCGTCGACATATCAATCTATCTATCTTTGAAGGTCAGTCACTCGATAGAAATCAGTTTTCAACGCATGTGCTGAAACACCTACAGTATCACACTACATGCCCAGTATCAAAAGATGATCTACAATTTTTCATGAAACAATCAGATTCACCTTATTCAACTTCCTCGAAAAATTATATCACAACTCTTAACCTTGAATTGGGGAGTGAAATTGAGAACAGTTCTTTAGACATCATAACAAGCAAAAAGTCCTTGAACAATCACATCTCGATACCTTGTTTAGGAGTAAAACAGTAAAAACATTGTGTCTTGAAGTGAGTCTTGAGGATAGATATTCATGGAAGGGACGTTGATTTTGTCGGTCGTTACTGTGTTGATCAAATAAAACTATGTTTTTTCACTTTTCCTTTTTTTGCCATTCTACAAGTTTTACTTTGCAATAATATGCATCGTCATTTGCTACTCCAGAACCTAAGGTTGTCTTATTTCAAGACAGGTCTTGTAAATGGCATTGATATCAGCACAAACAAAATTGGTTAGTATTAATAACTGCTTCAGTATCTATCCATCCGTTCTTGGCGGTTACGTCATCAGCGCCATATTAAATAAGTAAACCGATCGAGTCTCCATAACATGGGCGCAGACTAGTCTTCAGCACATCTGTTACTCTCTCTAGTACGCATCAAGTGGATAACGGGACCGGTGTTTTCATTCTCTTCCTGGAAATATTCTAATAATAAAGATTGATAACAGGACAACTCAAAAATTGCACACCGATGCCAAGTAAGTTGTCATTCTGGCAAATATGATTGAGGGGCACGTTACGACAAAGCTTTCGAGACGGGGACCAACAACTAAAAAAACGTATGTCTTTGAGCTCACCGATCAAACGTCTAAACACAGTGTTTATGAGAGAGAGAGGTGGATGTATGAAAGCAATTCCTGTAGTTCTACCTTGAACCGCCAAAAATCGAGAAAAGAACCATATCTACATATTCATCCTTCCATCCATCCATCCATCCACCCATCCACGCAACCACCCGCCCGCCTTTCGGTCCATCCATCCATCCATCCATCTGTCATAAAATTGGTCATATATACGTATTCCATCCCCCGTATTTATTCGCGCGATATGAGAGCGCATCGACATGGTATTCTATTTTTTATACGATAGGATCACAACAGCTCA